TTCATTTTAAGGGAGCTATTGATCTTTACAAAAAACTACGAGGTTCTCAGGGATCCCTACTTTGATTGCATTATTTTTTGCATATTGGTTGGACGACTTATACAGTATATACAATATACAGTATATGTACACACAATTATATTGTATATTATTTATTCCCTTCCCTTTTTTTCCCCTTATTATTATGTAAGGACAGCTGTTTCACCCTGACATTTTTTATATTTTATGCCCTTTCAAAAATATTAAAATTAATTTTAATGCAAAAATGTTCATCGTAGAGGTTTCAAGAATGTGAATAGCCTTTTTAATGTTTTTATGAATAAATGAATTGGATGAAAACATGAGCGTCGCATTATTGACCTATTCAGTCAGTGTGTGTGTGTGTGTGTGTGTGTGTGTGTGTGTGTGTGTGTGTGTGTGTGTGTGTGTGTGTGTGTCTGTGTGTGCAGGTTTGGCTACACTTGTGAGAGTCAAATGTTCTCACAAACAGTGAAATAAGTCGAGAATCAACTTGGACTGAAGTGGTCTTCACTTCTTAAAAGGTTGTTTAGCTTTCGAACTAATAATATTGACAGGACGGCGTGAGGTTTTGGGGGCAAGTTAGGGTTTTGGAAACACTGTATAAAAATCATTGTGTCTGTATGATGTCTTTCATAACATAATGAAACCAACATACAGAATGAGTGTGGCGTCATGGATGAGAGAAGGTGCAATTGCATGTGGTGTTTCAGGAGTAATCATGTACACCAATGTGCTGGTGGCATGTGTTTGGGGTTATGCGAGTCCCTGGAGTGAGTATCACTTACCCTGCTGGGCTCTTGGCAAGACGAGTGAAAAGCAGCAAGAGAGAGAGGAAGAGAGGGAGGGAAAGTGAGAGAAATGTAAAATGAAACCCTAATTCCTCTTTCAAAGTGCACAGAAATATTTATGCCCTCATTGCCAAGCACCTCTCCTTATTCCCTTCAACTCTCTCTCTCTCTCTCTCTCTCTCTCTCTCTCTCTCTCTCTCTCTCTCTCTCTCTCTCTCTCTCTCTCTCTGTCTGTCCGTCTGTCTTCTTTGTCTCTCATCCCTTTCTCAATCTTTGTCATTCCCCATTGGGCTTTGATCTCTTTCTCTCACATATTCTTTCCTCTTTTCACCAGGCCTGAACAAAGTAATAAAAAATGACCTAAGCACAAAAGAACAAAAGATAAGTGGGTGGGAATAAAAACGGGTAAGGCGAAGAGGGGGGAAAGGGGGATGAGAATAGAAAAGAAGAGCGTGAGGGTGTTCGGTGTCAAGGGCCACCCAGGACAGGCAAGATATTGTAAAAGGACACAACAATTTAAATACTTTGCTAATTTCCCATTTCACCTGTTTTCAAATCACCAGTTTGTCCTTAGGTCAAACGTGCGTTTCCTATGCAAGAATGTTTTTATCTTTGAACTTTTTTTTTTTTGATGGTGGGCACAATCCACTAAGTGTCTTTTTTTAACTGGGGTATTTATATACCGTTGATAACTCTTCTTTCTACCTTACAGGCCTGCAGCTAACAAGTCATTTAACCCACAAAGCTAAAACAGCAGTGGATGCCGTATGAGGGGAGATTAGAACAACGATAAGAAGACAAATAGCTCCATTGATATGAGAGTGTAATGACAATCGTCTCTTGTTGTTGTACGAAGAGGAACATGTGTGGACATGAAGCTATTGTGTGAACACAATCGGCAAGGTGTGTGATGTGTGACGCATCGCCTCGCGCTATCTCTGTCAAGTGCTTGTAATACAAGCGTCGCGCTTTGTACACATTCAGAGAGCGACCCGAGCGCTACATTCCTCTCTGTGAGAGGGTCACTACAATAAGAAACAACTTTGTGTGGGATGTTTAAAACTAATAATTGTAAAACTGAAGTGTGTGGTCGGGGGCTGTGAGTAGAAGTAGCCTATTTTGAAGCGTGCGATTGATTCGGTGTTGCCAGATCTCGCAAGAAAAAGCTGTTTTTGTTTTTATGAATCAGGAAAGGTAAATTGCTCAATATATAGAGCATAAAGTATGGTTTATCAAAGCTATCCAAATTGTGACAAATTATAAAATATTTATTTTAAATAATTAAAAATAATTATCCTTTAAAAAACTAAAATATTTAACAAATACAAAGAGAAACTTAAAGGTAGGGTAGGCGATTTTCTGAGAGGCTATAGCAATAGCAAAAGATCCCACCCTCCCTTCAGAGCGTTTCCAAAGCTCCAGACCTCCTTCAAAACACACGTAGCCTACGTATTGCCTACTACAGCAGGGAGCAAACAAAAGTGTCATGAGAAACAGGGTTAACCTCATGTCTCAAAGCACAGAACATTACAAAAATAATTAACGTAATTTACTGAAAGATCACTGAGCTGTACCACCTGACAGCTGCAGATTAATTTCGCCATTGATGCTGTTGCCACTGATAATTCGAGTCATGTACTGCTCCAAGTATAGCCTAATGTCACTCTTCCTAATTACAGTAATGCTGCATTCACACGGGGCGTCAACGTTAACACTTCTCATTTACTTTGAATGGGTGAAGTCATGCGTTGCTGAACTGAATCGTGGTTTCCATTGCGTTGTGTCACTGGTATTGCTCATGGCAAAAGTTAAAAAAGTCGCAAAAGTAATGTGATTGGCTGTTGTCACTATGGACGGGTCAGCACCAAGCTTCAGCCACGCCCTCCGTCAAGCGTTATTGACGCCCCATGTGAATGCAGCATTATGCCGTTATAGTATAAGCTGATTGGTTTGGCTCAGAAGGAACTGTGAAAGGTGGCTGCTGTTTCGGTTGTGGTGCTCAGTGACTGAAGTCTGTGTAACAATGCGTAGACATCCAACGCACATGACAGCCTTTAGCATCAATATAGCACAGAGTATGGGTAGGTTTAAGTCTGGGGTAGGGTTTGGAAGCGCCTTGCGCTGAGGTATGGAAATACACGTTGACAGGCAGGAACGAATGCGATGATTGGACGAGCATTGTTTGGTTCTACACCTTCCACAAAAGATATAATACAAATAATTTAGATATACCACTTAATTTAGTTATTGCTTTCAGGAAGTGAAGAGACTTTCAACCATCATAAAAATAAAATAAAATGTAAAAAAACCTGGAACAAATCACCATGCCTTTAATTAATTAGCCTAAAAATCTATACATATTATTAATCATTTACTTATCATTAATAAATAATTGTATACATCTACGGTGACTTATAATGGCATTGCATAGAGTGCATGGCTTGAATTATATGGGGTCTTTCTTGGGGATATTGAAAAGATATTAGTTGGTCATACTTTATTGCCAAACATGCACCAGAAATCACTCGAAACGTTACTGTAAATAAACCCAACCGGCCCGTTGTTAAGTTGTTAAGGACTTTTTTTTTAAAGAGTGGGGGAAAAAAAAATCAAACTCGTTTATAATAAGAAGACAGGGCAACATTGGACTGGGGTGACTGCAAAGCGCGAGCGGTCCATCCTGTCACCCGGGTTACCCGCGCAGTAAAATCTGCAGTTCGCTGTGGCTCGGAAGACCATCCATCAAAAGTAAATGGTTAACGGCTTCTTTGTACGACTGACATCCATCATCCAGTCTCTATGGCGCACGTCTTCATTAGAGACCCAAACTTCGCCTCTCCACCTTTTACCAAGTCCCTACCCCCCATATGCTCAGCTCTTTTCTTCCGCTTCAACAGCAGGGGTGAGGGGGAGACTATAAAGACCCTCGGGGACACTGCTGCAACCTCCTGGCCTCTGCTAGGTCACCTTTTGTGCCTGCGTAATTCTCTTCCCTCGCGTTCTCTTGCTCCCGTCAGATCTCTGGAATTTCCACCTCCCTCAGAGGACCCTCCAAGTCTCCCCAGCCCCAAACGTGGAAGACGGTTACCACAACGGAGGAAGATCCAGTTACAGGAGCTTTGAGTGTGTGTTGATTTAGATAACCGCGGGAATGGACAAGAGGGGCTGAACTTGACAGAGCTCTGTTTTGACAATCAGTCTGACAAATTGCCCTGTATGTTTTATGCTCACATGTTATTGTACACAGTTTGTCTGCCACAGATAGAGACATCTGTACACATTATATGTGTTCATATGTCTCTTGTTAAATGTTTATTATATTCTATTCTTGGCCTACAGCTTATATGAAATTATTAGCCTATCATTATTAATATTGAATGAAAAGCAAACACACCAGTAAAAGAGCAGGGAGGGCGTAACAACAATCATTTTGTCTATTACGTCAGTGCGTGGGTCCCAAATAAATTGCACCAATATTTTATTTTTTATGTTTTAGTCAACATATGTGTATATAAGTAAACCCCCCGTTTATTTATTTTATTATTTACGTTGTCCCCTTTTATTTTGTATTTGCCTACCAGGGCAAGTCATTTGGAAATATTTAGAGGAAAAACTGTGTAAAACTGTTTATAAATAAATAATAATAAATAAGATAAAAATGTAAAATAAAATAAAAAGTTTAGTTAAAAAAAGAAAAGAAAATGATGTTAGATAACAACAAATGATAACAAATAGTTACATAACTAAAAACAATAAATAAAAAGTAAATTTCTAAATTAATTCATCTAACAGTATACAATGCTGTAAGGATTAGGGAAAATTTAACTTAATAGAAACTAAAACATTTTCAAATAATATTTAGACATTATATACATTATATATAATCCTTTGGCACGATTGTGAATATGCCAGTAAAATAGAAAGAAAGTTTTAGCGATAATTTTCAATGTACAAAGTCGCATTCATTTAAATGAATAACTGTGCAACTAAATAAATAGGCTAGCCTACATAAAAACGAGCTCAAATGGGCGTTTTCAAGTGCGCACATGTTTTCAGCGGGGCGTGGTGAGGGCGGGACAAGATCATCTCGAAGTATCATTGGCGCTTTGTTTTGACAGGGCAAGTAGAGGGTGGGGTTTCTCCAAAAAAGGGGTGTGTGCGCTCACAGATTAAGCGTGATAACTGGCCCAAATTTAAGGTTCAACCTATTCACCACAAGCTAGGACGTTTGGAAGAACTGAATGAAAGTCTTAGACGGGTAGAGAAAGGCACCGATTGACATCTTCAGGTTATCTTGTCAGAGTAAGCAGGCTAAAAGGGTAGAGAAAGTAGAAAATTCATTTTAATTTTTGCAGTGGGAACGCTGCTTTCAGAATCAAAGTTGCAGGTACATTTAGAGGGTGTCAGGATCAAGGACCGACACACTGCCCCACACAAGTGAGAATACTAGTGGGATAAATACAGACAGAACGCACGATGGATCGCAAAATCCCCGATTTTGCTGGTACCTGGAAAATGAAAAGCTCAGAGAACTTCGAGGAGCTTCTCAAAGCACTGGGTAAGTGTTTATCATGATGCCGGCGCGCGCGCAGAGAGAGAGAGAGAGAGAGCGCGCGCGCGCAAGTCCTAGACGCGCGGGCATGGATTGCGCTACATACCAACACTTTCATTACCTCTCTTGTGTGTAAAAGCAAACCGCTTTAAAATGTATCCCGTAAAACTACCAGTATCTGGTTTTATGATACTAGTTACTACTTATTAAATAAGTATTATTTAGACTATACTAATTATTCCAACTTTGGTGCGTTGTTAACACCAGTGCCTAAATATTATTGGTGGTGTATGGTGACACTGGTGTATAGTTTTACTAAAACTAGTCAGGTTACAAGCAAATGGCACTTTTATTTGGCAGTGCTGAGCTTATTTCTATTAATTTCCTTGAGCAATGTGATACTGTCGTGCTTCAAAGATCCATTCAGTGTCTTGCGTTTTTGTGCAGGATAGAAAAACACCTCGCGCTCTCAATTTGTGGGTGCGTAAATTGCATGGCATGTGTGTTTGGAAAAGTCGGTTCACTTGCTGTATTTCTTGACCCACCTCTTGTTTAAACGCTTCCATTGCTCAAACCAGAATCCAAGTTTATCTGTGGGTTCCCAAAATTTGACTGACGTATGATTTAATGAGGGCACTGCTGCCACCCAAACACCCCTCTTGAACAGTCTGTGTCGAACAAAAGAAGCAGATTCCCTAAGAAGGGAGAGTGGGTCCTTCATTTCACCATTCAAAAGAATGATGAAATGTAGCAGACAGGTTAAAGAGGGCGGAGAAGGTGCACAATAGAGAGGGAGTCCCGCTGTTTCTGACATGGGAACATGATGAATTACCGGTATGAATACGACAAACTGCAGCCACACGAACTTCTGGGGACAAATGTCATCGAAAGTGCATGTAATGTGTATGATTGACAGATAGGTTCATTGAGGAATGAACTGTGCAACTTGTTTTAATGTTTTGCACAGACATGCACATTCACATAACTCTTAAATTCACACTCACGTACCATTCATTTTCATAACACAAATATTCCCGTGCACAGCTGGGCCCGACCTGTCGCCACACCCTGTCATCCACCCTCCTCCATCTCCTGTCCTCATCTTCATCCCTCTATTCTGAAATGCTTCCTTTGACCTTTAACCTATGACACTGACCCTGACCGTCTGACTCCTAAAATATTTTCTCGGTTACTGATGGAGTTTAAAACAGGGCTTGATCTGTCAGGAGTCAGTCTAACTTTATTAGCTAATGTTTTTACAAGGTTCTGCCTGCCTCAGTAAATTGTTTAGATTTACGTTTTCTTGTGTGTGTGTGCACTAATGGATTCTGCTAAAAGTCAATGGGGTAATTGACTACGTGTTTCCGCGTCTCTGCCTGAATGTGTGTCTAAATTTTGGCCTCCATCTTGTCTGCCTTCATGTGTATATATTTACCCTTGGTGACAGGTGGGAATGTGTGTGAGGTGAGTAGTGTGAAATTCTACTCGATGCACAGAGGGGCACACACACACACACATACACACACACACAGAAAGAGAGAGAGGGAGAGAGACTGGCCTCTTAATATCTAGCTGTCTTTTCCCACACTTGAATACCCCTTTTCTGTCTTTGTTGCCTTTCTTGTTTCTTTTTCTTCTCTTGTCAGTAATCTTGCCCTCCTTCAACTGTGCCATGCTTTTTTTTTCATTGTTGCCTCTGCCCTTCCCTACTTCCACACTGCGCTCTATCCATTTCCTGTCAGGAAGGTTTAATAGATTACAGCTTCCCTTGTGGCTGGTTGAATAACTTCCCCCTTTCAATGAGTTCATCCACCTACACACACACACACACATTGTCTTTTCATGTTTTATGGTGACTTTCCATTAACCTTTTATATAGTACAAACTTTATATTCTATCCCCATAAACTATCTATCCCCTATCACAAAAAAAGTTTTTTTATTATTATTAAAATAACATCACTTTGATTTTGTATGATTTCTAAGCTGTTTTACTAATGGGGACAAAAAATGTCCCCCACACGGACAAGGATTTTGGATATTGCCATCTTTATATCGCCTATATTACAATCTTAAAGTTGCTGGGTTATTTTAACCCAATTTTGGGTCAAATATGGACAAACCCAGCTGTTGGGTTAAATTTATAAATTGCATTTTTTTTTTTAATCCAACAATCGGGTTTGTCCATATTTGACTCAAAATTGGGTTAAAACAACCCAGCATTTTTTAGAGTGTAAATAAAATAAATTTAAATTCAAACATTCAGGGATAATTCATCCAAAAAATAAAAAAATTATGTCACCATTTACTCACCCTCAAGTTGTTCCAAACCTGTATGATTTTTTTTTCTTCTGCTGAATACAAAAGAAGATATTTTGAAGAGGATGGAAAAAATACTATGGAAGTCAATGGGGTCCATCAACTGTTTGGTTACTAACATTCTTTAAAAGATCTTCTTTTGTGTTCAGCAGAAGAAAAAAATTCATTCTGGATATTGGTGACTATTAAATTTGTATATTAATATATAACATTTAAAAATGTGTTAAATTGGTTGTGATAGTAGAATATGTTTAAATGTTAACATCAATCAAAAAGACTATTTACTGGTAGTACTGTGTGGATTACCATTTTCATTTTCATGGGCATCACATCTTTCCCAATATATGCAGCATTAAATCAGTTGATGTCATCAGACATTGTCGGCAGAGCGCGCAGATTTTAATAACATAACTCTCAAAAACTCTATAAATGAAGCCTTTCCCATAGCTTGTTTGGACTAGCTGTTCTTCAAGAGATTGTTCTGATGTGCATGTGTGTTTTGTCAGGTGTGAATGTGATGCTGCGTAAGATTGCGGTCGCAGCCGCGTCAAAGCCATCCGTGGAGATTACGCAGGATGGAGAGACACTTTCAATCAAGACCTCCACCTCTGTGAGGACCACCCATGTCACCTTCACAGTTGGACAGGAGTTTAATGAGGCCACTGTGGATGGACGTCCCTGCACGGTATATACACACCCATATAAAAACACTTTAAACGTCATCCTATTTGTCGATCTGCGTTTTCCCTTTCCAATATGTTCTAAAAACAAGAACCATATGAAAGTTCTGTGTTTGTAATCTGATGTGGACTCAATCACACCCTCCATCTCAGAGGAGCTATCAAACTCAGCACACACCCTTTCTCTGAAACTCACATTCTCATGGGCACTGATCAGTCTTACACATTAAAACATACCAAAGAAAAGACCTTTACTTATTTGTCTGTCTCTGTTTCTTTCAGAGCTTCCCTTGTTGGGAAACAGACAGCAAAATTAGCTGTGAACAGACTTTGCAGAAGGGCGAGGGTCCAAAAACCTCATGGACCAGGGAGATAACCAATGACGGCGAACTGATTCTGGTGAGATTCATTCGTGTTATGATGTGTTATCCTTGTGATTCTTACACACACATTGGTCTTCAATCATATTTTTCCTTTTAATAGTCTTTTTTCCTGTTTGCAGACAATGACCGCAGATGATGTGGTGTGCACAAGAGTTTATATCAGAGAGTGAAAGTATGAGGAAAAAGGAAGAACATCCATCCATATCACTGTCTTTCCTCATTAACCATTGACTGTGATTTTATATCATCTATTTCCTTTCTGCCTCATCTCGTCTTTCTTTTTTTGTTGACAATGTATTTGAATAATACATGACAGAGCCATGCAAATAATTCTTGCGAGGTTCCAGAAATCCAAGCAAAGATTTTTTTTTTTAAACTGGGCCCTGATTGGTCATTTAACAAACACATAATTTGTGCTGAAAAGCACTTTTGAGGGTTGGTCTCCACATAGATGAAGACCTGGATATCTAAAGCTTGAAAATCAGTCTTTGGTAAGACGGTTCACATTCACCACTGTAAAAATCTCAGAAAAGTCACATTTATCATAAATCACAGAACTTTCACAAACAAAATCTACACGAGTGGATGGTGGAAGGGTGGAAGATTTCCCCATTCAATTTTCGCAACGGATTCAACTGACAGTGGACTTGTGTGAGCTATGCTTCATAAATCACCACACTAATGGCAATAGACAATGGACTTTTATTTTTGCCTGCAAAATTTTGTGAATGTAACCGTGCCTTAAGATTGTACATCAAAGTATGATATGCCCTCGGAACATGTTTATGAAGTTCAGTCCATAATTTTTTTTATTTTCTCAGTTGACCTTTTGTTTAGCTCTGTCTTGAAATATTACTGACCAATCCTAACTTACCAACCGTTCTCAGACAGGCTTTTACTTTCTAACTCTATGGAGAATCTATCTATGGATTGCTTTTAAATTTTATTTTATAGTTTAATTCAGTTAATTGTGAGAAGTGTATGCCTTCATTCTGATTTGCTGTGGCCAAAGTTACTCGTTACAGCATAACTTAACAATGTTTTAAACGAAAAATGGCTGATAAAATGCTTTTCAACTTCAATTCATTCCAGCCCAAGAAAGGACAATATTCTATTGGTTAAAATCCTGCTCTTCATGGAAATCTCCAGTTCATTCCTATGCGACGTTCTGTAAATCTTGTCTGAATTAGCGACAGTTCCAAAGGGGGCGGAGCTAAGCAAATGGTCAATTGTGATTAGAAACCCCTGAATCTTCAATCCCAACCTTCTTTTTTCCTCTTTATTTTTGTATATATTTTAATAAAAACTGAATCTGAATTTTCATTCAATCTCTCTTTTTATTTTTATTTTTAAGTATAAACAACTACTTATTTCTGTGCATGGACAATGAAGGTTTCTGCCGAGAACATGTGTTTTTCTGCCATTCAGTAGCGTTTATCCCCACAGAAACTTAGTGGTGGTTCCATGATGCCACTGGAATGAATGTTCATTGATTTTATTTTAAAATAAAAAAGAAATTAAAGAAATCACATTGACCTTTATAACAAATCCTCACTCTTTCTCACACTCTTTTCTCACTCAGACATACTAGTGGGTTCACATCTTATTTTAGTATTTCTGCCAGCTGGCTGTAACTAGAATAACTTGTCTGTCGCTCTCCACCCCTTCGTCTCTCCCTGATTTTTCCATCTCAGTCTTTCTTTCTCATCATTATCACACCGTCTCTGGTTCCTGCCTTTCATCTCTCTGTTTTTCAAGACCCTACACTTTTAATTCACTAATCACTGTTCAAATGAATGGAATATAAATGTATTGTAATGTAAAAATGGATGTAAAACCCCCACATAAGTCATCAAAGAAATTTCCCCAGTAACCAAATTAAAATAAAATAGATCCAGGCAAAGAAGCCAACTTTCTGAGCAGGAAATGCCAGTCGGATTACAAGGTGAAGATGATTAACGGCAGATGTGCTTAACAAGGAGCAGGATCATAAGAGGGAATAGAAACTCAGGGTCAAAAAATTAAATGAGGACAACAAACACCCATATATACTGTACATATATATCTACAATATACGGTACACCCAGGACAGTTAAGAACAGAAATATAGAGATTAATAGACATGATCAAGTGAATTTACACTTAAAAAGAAAAACAAAGGTAGGAATGTAGGTGATGGTGGAATGTGGAGAGGTTTAGTGGTGATGCCTGCAGCTGTACTTGGTTACTGTGACCCTAATAAAACCAACCTCTCTCTACCTCCTGCCCCTATAAAAGACCCCAAATAACTGCCTCCCCTTCCTCCTTTATTACCCCCTGGGGCAGTAAAAGGCAGCTGTCTCTCCCCTCTCGATAAACCACCCGCATATTTGCACACATATGAAACCAAACATGCACATTCTTTAGAACCTTCACATGTCCCATCAAACACTTTGGACACTGTGAGCACAGACCATAAAACCACACACATACACATGCGAGTGCCCACAGCCAGTAATTGGCCCTAATGTGCCAGAAACACTTGCATATTTGGTCATTAACTTCAAAGGAACACAAGCAGATAGTCTAACAACTCAAACACACACCCACACACACATATGCTGATTTTGCCCATGTGCAGGGCAGGTAAATCTGGAATGACAATCTCTTCCCAACATCTATTCTGTTTGCTCTGGATTTGGCTGGCAGGCAATTTGAGAATCAGTTAAGCATTAAGCACACACACACACACACACACACACACACACACACACACACACACACACACACACGCACGCGCAACTAGTGAAGTGATGTGAAATGTGTAAAAATGTTGAGTATCTATTAACAGAAATGCAGTATGACACCCATATCTATGTTTTCAGTGGTGTATAAAGAACTTACTTGATAAACCGTAATGTTTTATATATCTACATAACCAAGGCTACCCCCTTCTATGAAGGTCGACATATTGTGACGTCATGTTTCTACCGTAGCCGAACACGAACAAACAACGCTACAAAACGCGTTTCATCACTACCTTGAAAGAGAAGCCGCAGAAAGCTGGAAGCTAGCCATAGACACCGTGAGTAGTGAGTTTTCCCTTGTCAGTGGTGTAAAATATAGTTGAAATGTTTCATGTTACTTAGTTCTTCTCCCTCGCTGTGTTATGGCTTTGCTATGTGGGGATAAATGTGCTGGTTACGTTCGTGAGACAGCTGATTCGTCCTCTTGTCATTGACCGTAAAACAGTAAAGTTACAGGAATCACCAACGCCGAGTTACAGGAATCACTGATGCCGAGCGAACTGAATTGCATAGCCGAGTCTGACAGTATTAATGAGCCAGCGAGACTTGGAGGCTGGGAAGCGCTGGCCAGTCTCCCAGACACAGTGCAAGTGGGACCAACGACACCAGAAGTACCTGGGGTGGGGCAGCGAGGCGAAATGCAGGGACACGACTCGGAAGGCATAGTGGCCCAGGGAGGGGTCTGAGTGTGTGGTGCAACGCGTACCTGCTTCTGTCGAAGGGAAGAGTGAGTGTGCGGAGGCATCAGTGCGTCCGGAACAAAGCTGCTGTTGCTGCTCACTGGCGCTGAAAGAGGGGCTTGAGGGTGACAAGGCATACCGTCATCGACTGCCAAGTGTGCCCTCTTGGGACCCAGAGGTTTCAGAAATTGTTCTTTTGTTAAAAACGTGGGTACCACTGGCCGGTGGTACCCACAGAAAGAAAAGGAAACAAAAGATTCTCTGCCCCGGCCCTCCACCAGGGGAAGGAGCGGTGCCTTCACCACCTCCTGAAGAGCAACTTGGTCCACCTCTGGGTCACTCTTCTTGCCAGGGTTGTTTGCACCAGCGCTTGCCTCCTGGTTTGGCAGCGGCCTGGATGGGCTTGGCTGACTTCCTGCGGCCTGCTCCATGCTGAGGCCTGGATGGTGGCTGCAGCTGCAGAGGCTTACCGGGAGCGGAGGACGCCACAGGAGTTCAACCTCAGACGGAGGGTCTGTGGCCGGTGGATGGGTGGGAGCAGCAGTGAGCTCTTGATTCCGTTGCCGAATAACCCAACCTGGGAGATGGGGCATCCAGGAACCGATATTTATCAGTGTCCCTCACGTCCGACCGGTTGACTCAAAGGTGGCAACACCAAGGTGGACATCGCCTGACCGACTGATGGTGCGGTTTCTTTCGCCGATCAGAGAGCGAGGTCAGTTGCCACGCAGACCCCCCGGAGGAGCTCTGGGTCAGAATCACCCTTGTTCATGTCCATGAGCGCCTGGGCCTGATGGACCAGCAGAAGTGCCATGGCATGGGGGCAGAAGCAGTCTGTCCACAGGTTCTGTAAGCCTTCGCTGTGAGACTGGATGAAAACTTACAGGCCTTGGATGGGAGGCGTGGATTGCCCCACCAGGACACCTGGGCACAGTTGCATCGCAAAGGCACGCTCAACTGGCGGGACATCCACATACCCCTTAGCTGCTCCGCCGTCGAGTGTGGTGAGGAGGGACAAGCCACCAGGATGGCTTCCTCATGCACCTCCGGAAAGAATGGTACTGGGGCAGCGTGCTGAGAACCAGCACTGCCCGGCCTGAGAAACCAATCGTCCAGCCGAGAAGGTTTGGGACGTGGTGGAGGGTTCCACATAAGCCCAACCTTCTCGGAGTAACACAGCCGAATATTCATCTCCAGAGGACTGAAGCTCCCCGTCCAATGCTACGACGGACATCTGGTCGTCAGGTGGTGCTCCACGGCTGGTCGTCCATGAGAAGGACCAGCGCGTTCCTGTGGAGCCTCCAACGGCGGCAGCTGTGAGGCATGAGGAGATTGCCTCAGTGGGGAAGCCCTCATGGTAACCCTCAGATCACCCTGACCACGCAAAGAAGTGGACCTAGAAAGTAGACCATGCAAACACTAGATCGGGGCATAGGCGAGGGGACTTCGCCTAAGGTAAGCAAGTATCGATCTCAGCGCTGTCATAGTCATATTCCCGCAATGGGAACATGAACTATTCACAAAAGCTGCCTCAGCGTGCTGAATGCCCAAACACAAGAGGCAACTTTTGCGGCGGTCTGCTAGCGGCAAGGAATGACATCCTGAAAAGGAAAACAAAAAAATATAAAAAAGAAAAATTACTCTCTCAGTGCTGAAGCACCCAGGGATGGCTGTGGTGTAAGTGGGGTACACACTCACGAGAGGAACACCCACTGAGACCGACACATACAGACACACACACACACACACAAGCAATGCTGTGAAAACAGCAGTTGTGAGCTCTAATGCTTGCGGCCACTGCTGGTCGCACCTTCACACCAGCACTCTGAAGTGAAAGACAATGAGTGTGTACCGCTTCTCACGCACGCAAACGTTCATTAATTGGCTCGTTCTAGACACTCGAACTTGACAGGGCTCCAATTACGTCGTCACTTTGACGTCACGTCGAACGTGAGTGACTGAAAGGGAACAGTTCTATTTTTTTGTTCTAACATGAAGTTCGAAAGAACAGTATTTATCTGATTTAAAACATGTTGTCAAACTGTACAAGGTTTTACTGTCACTTTTCATAAATATATTGCATCCTTGCTGAATAAAAGCTTTAGTTTCTTTAAAACAATACTAAATTCATAAAATCTTACTGACTCCAAATTCAAATAGGCCTACATATATTTTCATGAAAGATTGAACAAATTCAGTGTTAGTCTTTAAAAATCACACTAATCTCTCATATAATTTTAATGGAATGTGTGTGTGGCATAGGCAAACCATTGGATGTGAGCTTGTGATACTCAAACTGTGAGCTGGCCGTCAAAGTCAGATCTTAATCTCAGTTGTTGAAAGATAACAGATATATCAGATCTGTGTTAAATCTGACAGCACCGTGTGATTTGGATCAGATTTAACCATGTAAATATATGGACAGACAGCTTGGTATGATAATATTTTGTGCCCTGCAGCAAAGATTGCACAGGACATTGTGAAAGATAGAAAGATTTATATGACTGAATGTGTATATGGTTGTGGATACGCAGGCAAAAACAATTTGTCAAGGACACTGAGTGGCAACAGAGAGGGAAACTGAAGCGTAGGGTGTGTTGAGTTTTCCAAGTATGACATGTACAAGCGTGTGTGTGTTTGTGTGTCAAACAGTTAACAGTAAGAAACAGCCTAGAGACAAAACATGCCAAAAGGCCCTGTGGGCTTAATTCAAAGCATCTACTGTCACCTTACAACCGATTGGTGGATCACAGCTGGCCCTGATCCATGAACCTCAAGGGCAGTCTGCGAGATTCTTATGCACACACACACACACACACACAGTAAACAAGGTTAAGATATCAAATATGTTTTTCAC